GGAGAGAGGGGAAGAGGAGCCAAATCGGCAACGCTCAGAACCCTTGCGCTATCGGCCAAGCCAAGTGCAGCCAAGTCTACATTCTCAAGGAATTCGACAACGGCCAAGAGGTTGATCAAACAAAAGCCTTCTTCACCACCTGCTGAAGCTCGCATACGATATCGTTGGACGTAGAGGAGATGAGAAACCAACTCTGAAGGATTTGCCTTGACCACGGAATAAATGATAAAGGGCAACAGTATATCAGATGCAACGGGTGTAGGAGATGAGGTTCGTTCGGGTAAAGGCGATTGAACAGGTGATATTGGGGATAGTGGATCTGCAACAGGTTCCTGAATTGGCAATGGTGGAGCCTCCGTAGACGACTCTTCGGGTAATGTAGTAAGGATGACCTCTGGCGGATTAAAGGATTTGGCTTCCATAGCCGGACTATTCTGTTTGAAGTGTGCGGCCAATGGCGTTGGTTCATCCACGATTTCATCGTCAGGTTTTAGTCGAATGGGAGGGAGTTTGGAAAGGCCTTCCACAGCCGCGGTGTGTGCAGCGACGATTGTCGCTGCTTTATCAACAGGAGCACGACAAGACGGATCTTGCAATCCTTGTAAAACTGCAGCAGACGTCTTAGGTAACAGTAAAGCGATATTCTAGTGGCTCACCTCGCCCAACCGTTGTGACGACTGCTTGGACGCCGTGTTTTGCCTTTCCGACGTCTATGCCCAAATGCTCTAAACCAAGGTCCAGCATATTCAGAGCGGCTATTCTAGAAGCCAGAGCTTCGTCGTGGGAAGCATCATCTGAAATTTTCTGCCGAAATAGCCTGAAAAGGAATTAGGAATAGAACCGAATTTGGAATGAGCACGCACTGATCATAAAATAGTGCACAAATAGCACGTTCAACACGTTCAACCGTTTGGAGTCTTCGTTCTTCTGCAGCGGCTACATCTTGACGTCCAGTCTTCTTCTCTGAAGCTTCGCTCTCTCTTTCTTTTTGCCTCATTTCCTCCTCTAACGAGAAATAAAAGGCCTGGAAAGAATCTGATGCCTTTGTCTGATCCGAGAGATCTAGTTCGACCTTGGGGGATGGCGATTGCTTTGTGAGTGGAGTTTTGACGTCAGGTCCATTGTAAGGGAGCAATGGAGCAATGAAAGAGTTTGCCCTGTCTAGAATCCAAGATGGAAGGCCTGTTAAAGCTTCCCTCATTTCAGCTCGGACAGAATTGGATATTCCCTTTACCACGTCCTTC